GCCTGTTAATGGCTGAGCTGATGGTATGCATGTTTTCGAATTACTCACTTCTCGTGAGCTTTGATTATGAATTTGGGGGCAGATCATGTCTTGGCCTGCAGCGCCACGTATTAAGTGGTATCATCTACCCGTAAAGGATTGCAGATTCCAGATTGATGCTGCATTCCCTGGTGGTGATATCGATTTCGCAGATAAATGACATGATATCAGTGTGGTTATACCAAGCTTGGTCTGTCTTTGTTTGTTTGGACTTGATTGCACAATATTTATCGAAATAGTTCTGTTTACAACATTATTGTCGAGTTCTGTCAAGACTTGACCAGTTGATTGCTTTACTACACTGTTTCCTTCATTTTTATTACGCTTATATGCCTACCATTTTGCCTATAGCAGTCTTTGGATTTCATGTCTGTACAGTCATTGTATTTGCACCAACGCCTGCTGATATGGCTTGTTCCACTATAATTCAACAAAAGAAATATTCTCGCTCTCCTCCCCACATCCCCTTTATCATCGCTGGCGATTCTTTTCTTACATAATCCTTTAGATTAAGAAGGAGAAAAGAAAGTTTTGAAAGAGAGTATACTACGCTCTTCAAAGTGATTGCGAGTGGTTTGGTTGCAATCGGTACTCATGTATTTCGTCCCTCATCTATTCTACTACCCTAGAACTGTTTAAGCGTTGTCAAACACGCGTAATAATCTCGAAATATTCTTCTTCTTCCCTCCCCTATTATTAAAGGTGTCCCGAATATTCTTGTGCCTCTTAGCGTTGTTGGTTCTCGTTTAAATCTTTATACCTTATGTATATTCACCATGTTCAGTGCAAAAGAGTTCCTTTTCGTATCTCCAATCATATTTACTATGTACTGACTGATCTGCCGTGATCTTTATCGTTTTTTTTAACATTTAAGAATACCATCAAGATTTCTCTTGTGTTTTTTGTTCATGTGTACGAGGTATACTATTTATTATGGGAACGCTGTTCTCGAGATAAATATCTAATAATCTTGGCATTCACTTACATATGCAAAGGAAGTTGTGTTTGGGTTCTTAGATCAATCAATAACCTATCGTTGAGCCTCGCATGGCCCTAGATGTGCCTCACTGGCATCATACTTGTTTGTCATGACAAAGGTGCCGGCAGTGCCTGCCTGTTGCCAGGTCTTTTTGAAATATGGGGCAATTTACACTACTCAACTTTTCCTACAATTCTGAACGGAAGACGGATGTGTTGGTGATTCCAATAATAGACTAGGTATGTGTTGCCTAATTAACCCTTTGAGGGCAACTCGACGCGCATCCGTGTCATAATTGTCGAGCGTGCTAAAAAAGTCATGTCCCACGCCGCGGAAAATTGCTGTCGTCAAGGGTTAAATTCGCGGTTTTCCAGAACACCACGTGGCCTGTGCCGTGCGCGTCTCGTGGCTCATAATAAAATGATCTCCTTGAAGATAATCTGAAGCACAATCGTCCTAGCAATCTAGTAACACCCTCACGAAAAATGGGAAGAACTCTGGCCGTCTATCGAGAGGGCACGATTCTAGCAAATTGCACTTGACAGGCCAAACTTATGTAAGGCCGTAGCTCCCGCGTGATTGCGAGACGTTCTTCCCTACGATTCATTTTGGGATTAGTGACCTTATCCAAAATACCTCGAGGGTTTTACGCGCACACAATTGCGACTCCTGTAATACGGGGAGGCGGTATTAGTTCCAAATCTACGTACTTCGCACCTTCCTCGCACATCCACTCACTCGTCTGTGGGGTGACCTCCCCTAATTTGTTGGTTGGTGACCTCTCTGGGAGTCTCAGCGAGCATTTTCAAATGATATGCGGTAAGAGCAAGACAATAAAAAATACCTTCATATAATATAATATGGAAACTAATAGAATAGAAACAGAACATGGAAACTTTGAAACTTTATCACTGACGTATTTAGACTCTCCTGTTCATCTACTAAAGCTATTTGATGCACAACTGCGCGAAAACCTAGGGTTCCATTGCTGTGATCCATTACCCTTCCCGCTGCAGTGACTTTCAACTCCTTCGAGCGCATTAGGGCGATCGTCGAACTGACAACCTCTCCGTTTTCAAGAACTTCTCACCAATTTCAATGGTCAGTGTCAGAAGTATCGGTGAACAGTTGATGTAAATGAACTGGACAGAATGGCAGCACTTCACATGAATAAGGCTCTTGTCCTCCTCTCACAACAAATGTGAAGTGATTATTTCGGCTACTTCTTCTGTATTATTAAATTATATATTATATGTTATCACAACTTTTATTTTTATGATCGTAATCAATAGGACCACATATTGCCGCTGCTATGCACACATGCTACTTGTCGTCGGATGAGCACAATGTCTCACATGTACTCCTCCGAATTCGAGCCCAGCGATGTCTCCAGCTTTAAACCAAAGTCAGGTACTCCTGTTGTTCCTTGTCATCACCACGGACCCCTGTACTTATCTAGCCCACCGAAAACACTGTACCACCATTATTTCATGCACCTTCATCCCTTTTGTACCCGTTTGGGAACAAGAGTTTTTCGGTCTGTGGCTCACTAGCCTTTACCCTTTTTTTGGGTGGTGTGCATGTTCACATTGGGCATGCGCTGATTTACTGTAAAGCACAAAAAGCCCCGTATCAGCGGTGCGGTGGGTATCTATACTCAGTCGATCCGGGGTGACAAACACTGCGGTGACCAGGGGCCACAAAGGTAGCAAATAGTGTACAGAGTTATCAGTGGTTACGGGGTGGCAAATAGCGTTGAGGGTTATCAAAGGTTAAAAGGTCGCGCAGAGCGAGACACCTTTCACAACTGGCACATTTTCTTCTTCCATTTTCTTCCTCAAAACCCGACAGCACTGTGAGCTCTGCATACCAAAAACCCTTCTTTCCCGACACCCTATTCACAACTGCAGCTACCGCAAATACGGAATGCTAATAGTGCATAGCAAAAAGTATATAATAGAGCAAAACTGCAAAAAATGTTTAGGTACGTCACTGCTTAGGCTACATAGTTTTCATGTAATGTGATGAACTTGAATTTATTCATTGTCTCGTCCTTACCACATATTATTGCAAGTGTATTAAAAGTAATAACAATAATAATAACGAAAAAGTTCCCAATTTATGTAGTCAGTGTTAGCTCATCTGAGACTGTCAGAGAGGTCAGCAGCCAAACAATTAAGCGAGGCCACACTACAGGCGAGTGAGTGAATGTGCAAGGAAGGCGCGAAGTAAATTTGGCTACCTTTACCCACCCTTTGCTAAACGTCCACGGTGTCTCCAAAAACGCCTCTGTTATGCTTTTGAGTTCGGTGATTCCCTGAAGTAATCTTTTAATCGCCTCATGCCATCTATGTGCCCCTTAACCTTCACGTGGAGTGGTCTTGCCGTTTCTCCAATATACTAATCACCACAATCACGGCAAGCAACTTTGTAGACCTCCTCAGACATTTTGCAATCACCTTCCCTTCCAGCTGGACAAACTACACAGTTTGAGCTTGTACATAGGCGATCGTATAGCCTGTTCCAGGCCAGGCGCTTCTTCAGATAAAAGGGTGGTACGTTTAAAATAGCAACTAAATTTTCCGGCACTATTTACCCTTTACTGTCCCACTTTGTCGAGAATAGGCTGGATTTCTATCGAATCTTTTTCAAGAAGAAGAAACCAACTAGAAACTTGTCTAGGAGGTAGTTTAATCAATAGAACACGAATATCGCATCCACTCGTCATGTAAAAGCTTTCTAACATACTACTTAGAGGCAAGTTTTCAGCAATATTAGTGACCCAGCTCCATTTGGCGCCGGCGCCTGTGGCGCGAGCGCTAGGCATTTTTACGACGAGTGGATGCGATATTCGCGTTCTACGGGTCAAATTACCCCTCTTGGCAAGTTTCTCGTTAGTTTCATTTTCTTGAAAAAAATTTGATAGAAATCCAGCCCATTCTCGACAAAGTGGGGCAGTAAAGGGTAAATACTGATTTTACCAATATCAATAAATAATACCAATGTTTCAAACCCGATCTCTTTAGACACTTTATAATGGAGGCACTGGCCTCATCAGAACCAAATTGTAGTACACAATCGAGGTACTACCATGTCTGAGGACCACACTGCCAGAAGAAGCTCTATGTGTAGTTAGAAAATGGTAGTAGCCATTCGACCAAGCTATATCGCGCGCCATTTCAAGCAATCCTTTTCGCTCATCCTCTCCAGTGCAGACCTTCTTAGCAGTGCAGAATATAGTCCTGACGGCTCGTTTTATGTAAAAACAACTGGCAATAAGAACATCATTGTCCATTATTACTCACATCCTTTTTACATAAAATTATTTACTACCTACATACATTCATTACATACAGTAAAAGATGATGGATTCATAGGTAATAAGTAATGATGATGACTTCATAAATAGAACGATTCTGGAACGTTAATGGCGTCTTCCTAGAATTTTTGATCTTAGCTCCACCCACCTCAGTGCGAGCCCCGTCCACTTTAGTGGTTCAACCACACCCCTCTAACTTCTCGTCACTTTTTTCCACGCTCTAGAACTTTTTGAATGGAGTTATGTCTGTGACGTAGTCCTGCATACCTTAGTGAACCCCGCTTGCCTCAGTGGTTTGACAAGATTTCTTCTATTACCTCTAACCGTTTCTTCCGCGTTCTGAAACGTTTCTGATTAGAGTTTTACATATTTTTAGAAGGTGGCTTATTCGAACGCACGCTTCGCAAATTATGAGTGGAGCTTCGCTAAGTTTATGCATGTCCAGCATACGTGAGACCTGGCTCACCCTTTTTATGTCTGTTCTGGCCTCCACGCCTTATTGAACGGAGGCCTCCAGCTGAAGCTTCAGGTATGTGGTTCGTACTTAATCAGTTCCCTTTTATCCCATCACATGCACTAATATTCATACAAAAACAAACAGAATTCAAAAACAGATAATTTTTGAGTTGATGTGATAGATTCAAGGCACAACCGTGGAAATCCTTATCTAGTTGAACGAAACTGCATCATTTTTTTGTGGTACTAAGCCTGTGGCAGCAAGAATATGGAATATTTTCGTCAGTAGCAATGTTCATTTGTCAATCATCCTCGGGAGCTGTTCGCTGTTGCGATTCGACTTCAGGATGCCAGAGATCAATGAGAAGGATTAGACGTAGAGAGGCTGAAGATGCTCCGTCGAATTGTAACTGGAATCAGTCAGAACTTGAAATGGGTATTGAAGTATGGCATCCGAACTTGTAACTACCAAGCCTTTAAAAATCAATCTAATTGAGGCAGTTTACCTATTCACATTGAATTTTATATACAGCTGTGGGAATGGATAGCTCATCCCGTTTTTTAACAGCTTTGCACTAGTTCGGCAACCCGGAATTCATATTCAATTTTGGGCCCCAATGCAAGTAACGACTATTGGCCTTTTTCCTCTCGTTTGAAGGCATTAAGCGCACTAGCTTCATTGTGAGTTGGTAGCATATCTCTGTGAGCCCAGTGCGATCATCATTAGTGGTTTCGTAAATCTTGGTAGCTCCATAACACTGCGACGGCTATGCTGAGATTGGTTCGAATCGATGTGATAGATTGACTACATGAGTGAAGAAATTCTCATCTATAAGGTGAAAAAGCCAAGAGTTTTATGAATATAGCCTCTCCTTATTCTATATTCCAGCGTCTATAACACTAGGCGCAGCATCAATCCTAGGTAGAGAATTATGGTTGGAATATTAGGCCGATGCGTAAGTTTTACGCTATAGGTGACATTCTTTCAAAGCATCTACCAATGAGCGGGAGCCAAACTACAACACATCTGATTTCTCTAACTTGAGCCTAATGTTTCGGTAGTGGCTCAAGGCCCTTCTCCCATAACTTCGTGGGCAGCGATTTGCAGAATATTTGAATGCGCCATTCGAGCGTAGCGAAACATAACAGCTTTTTTCAAATGATGTCTCAAAGTGCGAAGTAAATGGTAGTTGGGTGGTGTTAGGTTATGAGAAGACCCAGGCTGAGGTAGATCCACTCAGCCATACTCCGCATTTTTTTTCTGGTGATCCTTGCAACATTTGGGCGGGCATTTTTATCTTGCTACCCGATTCGCTAGTTTTTCGGATTGTGTTATAGCAAGAATTCAGGCGAGGTTCTTCAGCGGTCAGCGCGGCTGTCACCGTAACTTCGCTTGATAGCAGCCCGAAGTAAAGCCTAATTTTGCAGTTCCACAAACAGCAGAGCAACGCCCTCCCTTTGTAGGGAACAGAATTTGCTTCTGGGGCTGGTATCTCCCTTGTGCCTTGCCCCTTCCTCGTATCATTAAAGTAGGACACACTACTTTCATTCTCAGATATAATTTTTTCAAAAAAGTTCCCAAGCAAGGACAACGTAGCTGACAAGCGAGGGTGACGGAGCTGACAGGCACTTACACTGTTGGCCTTTCCTGCCACCTGTGTTGGTGGGGCACCCCTGTAGGCTTTTGTCAAGCCGTGATGGTATGGTTTTGAGTGTCTTCGGGTTGCCCGACTGATTCAGATATGTACTCCTTTCATGGCAGCTTTCGGATTTGCTCTCAGAACATTAAGAAGTTTACTGTATCGTTGGTCGTGAGGCCTTCACGTCAGCAAGAGTTCTAAGGTTTCAATTAGCGAGACACTGTATGTAAAATGTTAGAAAACATAGTTTCTAATGCAGCACTAATACTCCAGAAGGTAGTGCCGACACATAAATGTTCGAAGAATGGGGTTTTCGACTTGAAACACTATTGCTGCATTAAAGGCACTGTTCACGAAAAAGTGATTTCGGTGTTTTGCACATGGTTTGAATTCGAAGCCCCCTCTGATACCATTTGTACAGGAATGAGGTCGAAAACCGTCTGGATAGGGCACAATAAGGGCAGGAACAGTGGGGGACGGGAGGCCTCACCACATTCGCATTGGAGCGAAGTTGGTGAAAAGTCGATAAGCTGGTTGGCAAATTGCCAGAGACGCAATGTGTTGTCTGTTATTGCAGACAACACATTGCGTCGCCTTCGTGCACTCGCCCGAACACTCCCTAACCGCCGTTATTTGCAATGTGAAACTCGTCCAACCCCCCTTTCCAGCTCTTTTTTTGACCCTTTCTAATTCTTTTTGTTCATCGTTTTTTAGTTTTTTTTTTCGTTGTTAACGCTTTATTCAAGAGTAGTTCTATCAATTCCCTTCAAAAAAGGGTACCCTAAATTTATTGCCAACGGTGCCTTTAAGGAAAGAAGTCCGTGATGAAGTCTTTAGTAAAAAGTCATTCAGCATCCTATCACACGAATTTCCATGGACAGCTCAATATTTCGCAAGCGACAATTTACCCTGTTTTACAGATATGTCGCAAGGATTATACACAGACCTAATACTGTCGCGTCACAAGTGGCACCATCTAGTTTGAAGAACGGGATTTTCAGCTTGGAAAATTTTTGCTGCACTAAGAACGCCAATGGGCAGCTTATCTTCGTCTGAGTCGACAATCCCTATTCCTCGTCGCTGTAGCAGTCCGAGGCAGCGTTCTAAGGGTGTAGGGACGCCGATGATGATAGGGGCGTCAGGCGGGTGGGACCACCAGAAAGCGTGGTACTCAGTCTACAGCAAACGACTCCAAGAGCGAGACGTTGTTTTGAATTGTAGCTGCTTGAATATTTTCCTATTTACTATCACCTTTGCATTTATCACCGTTCAATTCGTGCCATTCTTTAAAGTACTATACATACATATACATAAATATAAATACAAATACCGAACCATCCGCGAACAGCTCAATATTTCGCAAGTGACAAGATAACCTGTCCTACAAATGTGTCGCAAGACTTATACAAAATCTAATACTGCAGCAACCGCTTCGCAAGGGCAGAACTCCATTCACTCTAGTATATTTTATCGGAGTGCCTACTGAGAACTAGGTCATCTGACAATCCCTTGATCCTTTATCTCCCACATTTACCTGTTTTGACGGATGTATAAATATGGGAACAACAAATGACCTTTTTCTTGACGCTGACTGCCTCAAAGCCCTGGCGCCTCCTTGAATATGACACTCACCTCATGTTCAAAGGAGTCATCGAAGATAATGAATTTGCCAGTTTTCCAACCACGTTGTTCGTTACCTACTCTAAACAGCGTTCTTGTTACGGCTAAAATTAGAGGTAAAGGGCGTTGTACGTACCTAATTCTAGCTTCTGATGGAACAATCAAGCCCAGATGAGCTTGTAACCGACTATTAGTCGGTCCGCAATGTGGTAATATTTGTGCTCCCGAGGATAAGGCCGAAAATCGCATCTGGAAAGCGATAAATGTAAAAGATGTTCAAATGGAGCACTGAACACTAAATCCATTGTATGTAAAGCTACGTTCAGAACTTATAACCTTTTCAGATCCATCTGCCTTGAGGATTCGAAAACTCTCATTAAAAGGTATAGAATTTGGGTTAGACCAACTCTCGAGTCTGTTACTACAATTTTAAGTTCGGTCAAAAGGAAGCATGTAGGCCTGTTGGAAAATGTTCAGAATAGCGCTCAAGGTTGGTGAATTGTGGACAAACTTCTGCCTCGGGCGGGACTTGAACCAGTGCTTGTGATTCTTCTTGCTGCCTCGATCCCTTATTTAATTTCCCACTCCTAGAGGCTGAGAAAGGTGAGTTGTTTTTCTGTTACTAGTGTTTTTTGTTTACTCGTGCTTATAGGTGAATGAGTTTTTGCTTACCGTAGTCAGTCATTTGCGCCAGGACCCACAGGTACGCAATGACACACTAAGCGTAGTTCGTCCAAACGCCCCACTCTTCTTCTTTCTTCTGGCCTCATTCTCGTCCAGCCCCCTTTTTAACGATTGTTCGAAGCCCTTTTCACTTTGGAAACACCGCGCTTTATTTTCCATCTTATCTTCCATTTTTCGTCATAATCTGGTTTAACCAAAATTATCGTCAACTGTGCCTTTAAATAAGGGATCGCAGCAGCACAAAGAATAACAGAACAAAAGAATCGGAGAAAAACATCGCCTCAACTCGGCGATTAGCTGATTGTATATGGATCTTAGAGCGAATACTGCAATCTGTATCGCCTCGACACTCGTCTGTCTCGACATCGAGGAGTGGGAAGTCCGGGCGATCCGGTAACGGGGGTTCCACTATGCCCTAGCTGTTGAGTTTTGATACTCGACAGCGTCCTTCCTAATACCCTTGGGGGCCCCTGGGAATTCATAGGAATAGAACTCGGAAACAATTTTTACCGTGAGCTGTGCTTTAAGTTTTCTTCGCCCAAGATTTCTAGTGTTTATATTACAAACACTTTCAACAAACCTCGGACTTGCTTGCGTTGCTGCTTTCGCGAAACTCTTTGAGAATACTGCAGGTTTGCGGTGCCATTTCGCAATTGTCTATGTTGAAATGCCCGTTTTCTAGAAGTGGAAATGCAATCCATCTCCCATCGACGGTGATGGACGGATTCTCCTCTTTCCATAGGTAGGGCACCGACTGGAGTACACGAGCCGCTTCAGCACGGATGGAAACCCATTGGCGTTCAACGGCCTAAAACAACAAGAAACGCATCGTTATTGACTGTTTTTCATTGATCTGACAGGCGAGTCAGAAGAACGTCTATGTTCATTAACGGAGATGTGGGGGGAGGGGAGAGGGGAACTATAGCGGGATTCGACAGTTCTGCATTATGGTCCCAGAACACTCGTGATTGATAGACCAACCACGATCTCCAAGTGCAGGTGGCCTCGCTTCCCATTACCACTACAAGAAGTGTGAGATCGGAGCATGTTGCAGTTAGGCAGACACCTCAGATAACACCAAATACAAACCTTGAGATATTTAGAGTAGCCAGTCTGTTCACTGGTCCACCACGCTCTGCCGGTGAGCCCTTCCACGTTGTACATGGATCGTTGCTGGGCGGAGAGAAATAGTCCAAGTGAAGCAGCGTGTTCGAAGACGCTGTAGGCCTGAATGTGTCGCTGTAATTGATATTTGGCTGGTTGAGAAATTTTGTTAGTGATTGAGGAAATGGAGGTTGCTGGAGCGCCCGCCAGTTTCTAACACGGGGAGTAGATGGCTTGTATACTGTTCAAGAATTGCTGTCACTTGAAAGTCTGACCCTTGAAACTGATCACCGCATGGTTGCTGTTGGTGTTGACGACTATCATTCTCTGACGTGGAATGAGTTCAGAATTGCTAGATGCCATCTTTTGAAGTTTCTGAAGCGCGACATCCAACCACTTGGTGTTGCAAAAATAGCCATGCACCATGCAGAAAATGCGCTTTTTCAAAGGAGTTCACTGGGGAACTTCAGCCCAGCTAACGATTTGTCCAGTATCAACTGCAAACCGGTGCACAATCAGCAGGCCATGAAGTATTGAGAATCAAGGAACCATTAACGCTAATCCGTTGTCGAAAATGTATGAAGGGTATACTATTAAGTTTATCAAGAGATTAATAGTAATATTTGCGTTGGCATCTGAGCGATTTCGCACTTTTTATGCGATAATATATTGATTATGATGTGCTTTGGTTGGCTTGACCAGGGTTTGCTTTGGGACCTGCTCATTTATTACATAAGACGTTATGGATATTGCATGGAAATCAGTCTGGAACAAAGCTATGGAGCATCTACAAAACGAAACCAACCTCCGTAGACCTGCCTAGGAACATTAAACCATGTCCAAGGTGATAGTAAAACCTAAAAGAAAGACTGTTTTCGATTTGTTATTTCGAATTTCTAAAACCTCAAATGCACAATGATTCGCAATCAAGAGGTCTTCTCTCCCAATGTATCCCCTTCTTTAAAACGAGTTCAAAAACATAATATGTGATATTAAAGCAGATTAAGAAGGGTCACACTTCGCATCAGTGATTGAATCTCCACCAAGACGAAGCCCTTTCTTCATGTAGGCTACTCCCTGTTCCACATTGTCGTCAGCGACCTGCAATGTATAGCAATAGATGTATTAAAATGTTCTGAACACCTGCGGCCTTGAAATGTAATATTTTATTCATAATCAGCTAAATGTGATGCTTCGTCTAAAACTCGGGTCATTCAAGGAAACTATGTTCACTTCGTCTCGTTAGCTTCGTGCAGGGAAAAGGAGATAGGCATCCTGTTGTTCAACGCATTTTTTTGGTTTTCCCCACCAATGATGCATGTTCAGCACAACCGCTTTCATCATTGTTCTCAGTAACTAGACATCATCGATGCTGTGAGGGTGAGGGTGTCCGGGTATTGACCTTACTGTTGCATCAGTTAACCAAACTGTTTCAAGATTTGTAGGGACAACTATCACATGTATTTACTTGTATTCCACGCGCTCAGTTCAAAAAGAAAGAAATGGATCGGTAGGTTTGATGGCTGACCTTTAGAATGTATCCGTAATAGGCGAGGGCAACACCATTGTTATGGTCATTCTCAATGATCTGAAAAATTTTTAAAAATGTGAAACACAAGGAAGATATGTAGCTGTTGTTTTGCTTGGAAAGCAATAAATTTCATCTTGTGAGGAAATCAGTCGGGTCGCTCAGCTGACGCAGGGCTTCCCTCCTTTCAATGGCAAGTTGTAATGATCGGCTCACAGACCCACTTCTTCTTCGTAACAAATGATACTGTTTCGAACTCGGAATTTGAAAGTGGAATAAGTGGGCATGCAAATGGTATTCAAAATGCGCCGATGCTTCTAATCATGGACATAATGTCCATGATTAGAAGCCTCGATCTGTTGCTGTTCATTTTGAAAATCACTCACAGACAATTAAGCTGCTAAGCAAGCAAAGCCTTGGATGTTACTCACAAATGTTGTCGAGACATAATAACAAAATTATCAAACGTTTTTATGAATGAAACTTCCTTCTTCTGCGGATATATCATTTAAATGAGGATACAAGATTACCAGCGGTCGGATAACTTCGGCAAGAATGATATCGAAGCAAAGAGGAACCGTGATCCTTCATTGTGCCTGTGTAGCGGTCGTAACCTGATAGCAAGAAGTAAACCAACTTTTACCGCCTCATAATTTAGTACCCTTAGATCCCTGTCACAGCACTTCTTGTCGAATGAAACATATGGAAAAGTCAAAGTTGAATGTAAATACAAAACGCGTTAGGATTTATTTAGTGAGTGGTTCTTGCTCTCTGTGGCCTCTTCTATCGTCAGTGTTCCCATCGTGTCGTCAGTGTCCCCGTCCTGCCACCTGCCAAAATATTCCATCCCGCCACCGCACTCCTTCCAAAACTTAACGTTCTTGGTCAACGGGAACATGCTATGATTTTCCTCTCAAAAACTTATTGTTCACAAACTCCGCCCCTGTTGATGGAGTCTTATTCTGCCGCCCGTCATAAGTGTTGCCATCCTGCCGACTGTACTCCTTCCAAATTTGAAAGTTCTAGGTCAACGGGAAGAGGAGTTATGCATTTCGGGTCGGACACATACACACACATGCACATACACACATGCACACACATACAGACACCCATACACACATACTCACTCAGATATTAGCATGCTATATACATATAGTAGCATGATACGCTCGCTGCGGTAATCCCAAACCCAGCAGCAAATGGTTCCGTGAACCCGCAACAAAACACTTGGTGATGCGCTCGCGATACGATTTTTTAAAACCACTTGATCACATAGCAGAGACGCACGTCTTGGAGGACTTTCTTAGCATCGGCCAGCCTTTTCATTTTGATAAATGTCAAAGCTACATTTGTTTGGTGCTCCACCTCGTCTGGGAACCTAGAAAAACAAAGTTCATCTCGCTATAATCTACTCACAAGTAGTAATTTCGAACGAAATGATTACCTGGCAACAAGCATTCGGTGCGCTAGAAGGGATCTGTAGAAATCTCCTCGAAAGCTAGCCAACTCGATGAGACGAGATGCAGCTTGCCTGAGTGAACAGAAACATTTTAAAGAAAACAATAAAGACTAAATTCGACTAATCCAAGTAGAACAGATAAAAATTATAGGGACATGGACAAAAAAGTTATCCTGAATTCTGATCGATGTGCGATCACCTCAAAACTACTCAGTTAATGGTCAACTCTTGACAGTTACCTTTTCAGACTCAACTATTTCCGAAGCCTTGAGTTCGAAGAAAGTGAAGCTTGAAGTTACTTTGCACATTACTCGATGTCGCGAGGACTCACCGGAACAGCGCATCTGGTGTTTCTTCATTGTCAAGAACTTGTTCGTATTCATGTATTGCCCGAACGAAGTCGCGGTCATTGCTGGTCAGTTCTCCTCTACAAATTTTCATTGTTTTTGCAAAATGTATAAAGAGCACTGCACATACCTTAACTCATAGCCTCGTCCCTTCCCAAAGTGCGCTCGTGGTGAATCAGGTCGAGAGCGTAAAACAGTGTTGAAAATTGTAAACGCTGCGTTGTAATCATGCTGAAAATAAACTTCTCTTGAACTACAGTAAGAGAACAAAGGGAAGCAAAAGTAAGAGAAAACGATAGCATAATACAATATGTGTTCAAAATACAATATGTGTTCAAATCTTTGAATGTAGTTACCACAACTACCACAGCACAGCACTGTTAGGGAAATCACCCACTTTTTCTAATGGCCTGTGGAACTAGCTTTTCCGAGCAGCTTTAGAGGAAGAACTGACTCTAGCGTACTGAGCCTTGTTTGCTTTGGAAATTAGTAAAATCAGGATTCCAGGTCTGCAACAACTCTTCACCAACAAACTATTGAGAATGCGCCTTTACATCTACGCTAAGAGACAGATATTTTATGGTTCCTACGTTAGAGTGGTACACACTCTTCGGACCTTTCCCCTCTGCATGGTTAGGAGCACGGAGAAAAAGAGCGGGGGTGAGCGTAGGTTAATGGCCCTGAAGCTATGATTTCTCTGAGCACGGCATTCGACATTATTACACTCGTTGGATTTAGATCTTCTACTTGTACCGAAACGTAATCCCAAATCTATAGATAACCTCCAACTGTTTTGTCTATCTCACACGCCAAAATTTAGTTACGGCACGTGCCGTAAATAATCATTTTTATCATGCATTGTCTGCTGATGGCATGGTGATCAAACTACACGGTGACCACATAGTTACTAAAGCGGCGGTTCATATTGTTAATGGGAAACACAAAAGAGGAACAGATTAGGGCAATCACTTGTTACTGTTAAGAAATGGATATCCTGACTGCGCCATGGGCGCCATAAACACACTATCTCTAAGTCGACCTTCGTTCGGCTCTTGGTGCCGATTTGTTCAGCAATATTTGTTGGTGATTACGAAGCATGCTGTAAGCATCCGAATTCTACTAAGAATCGAGCCAGTTGTTAAACTTTATGAAACCTGTGAGGTAAAACTATTTATCTGCACATCTGTTGTTCCATAAGTGGAGAAGGTCCAAACAGAGTTTATCTAAATTAATAATCTTCCCTTCATTTTGGTTACGCACAGAACGAACGTGACTGTTTATTAGACCACTTCAAACTAAAATTTGAACGAAAAGGGAAAATATTTTGAGCAAATTGACAAAATGATCACGTTAGACAAAGGCAACTATGACAAATAGACATCTGACTTTGACTCTCTTCAAGAACCTAACACGTCACCCGTGACAGTTGTGCATACACTGAAGGCTTAAACTGCTGGCCAACGAGCTATTCACGAATCACACATAGAAAGCGTAAAATAAAATAGTGGAAGTTAGTTGACAACGAAAAGTTCAACAAAAACAGTATTGAATACCCTTAGGTAGTTCAGATTAGAAGATCTAGGTAGTATTCCAGTGACAAAGCAACTTTTTAACAATGCTGATGCATGAGTCAGGGCCGTTATCATGACCCCTCATGATTCATACTTATGGTACTGTGGTTATTTTGGATGATCTCGATCCACAAACGTTTCTTTAAGGCAATAAATTTTCTGAAGTAACTCGAAATTTGGCTGAAGTTAGTTAGGCTTTAGGAAAATTTGGAAATACCAATGGCATTCGTACGGGAGCTAAGTCTTCCTACTCGAAGTGGAAACGAAACTAAGAAATTAGTAGCAGCTACCAGTATGTACTAGAATTCATCACGTTTCCTGTTCTTCTTAGATCGTTTGATCGTCACCTTTTCGACGAGATTGTCAGCTCGATCCAACGCATCACGACTCTTATGATCGTCCCGATTCGTTATTGCTTGACGTCTGTAAGCTTCTCGTCCGCCTGCCCTTCAATATCAATTCAATTACCAAAATATTATCCGGTGAAAATGTAATCATTCTCTGCGAATACTTTCTAATTACAAAATAAAGTACCCGGTAGTCTACTATTTGTACAACGGGTAGGAAGGGAAAAATTTCATTGGGAATCCGCAAATGGGAAGAGCCTAGTATAGGCGAATTCTCAAACAGGCTCAAATTGGAACGGGTTCGTCGACGGGCCAGCTAGGAATTGTTTTGGTGTTGATCACTGCCTTTTAATGTTATTCAGTACTCTTCACGTGACAACATGGAGTAGATTTGTGACAAATCTTCAATTCATCGCCAAACCCTAGTCTTCATACGGGTCGAAGGTAAGTACTGTTTGCGCTATCTCTTACCGAAAAAAATCGTGTTATCTTCAAACTTATTGCGATAAAATTGGAATGCAAACCATTGAAAAGTTCTATCTTTTCAGTTCTAAGCATCAAGGTGACACATCAAATGACAATTGCCACAACAGACTATCACATTTGAAGAAGTTACTATAAAACTCGTAGTATATAACTAAGCATTAAAGCAGAAACTTTCATTAGAACGTCCTCTTGGACAAGTCAAATTTGATTGAAGGACAAAGATTTTCATAGAATTTTTGGTTATTAATGGCCGCTGTAGAATTAAAACTTGAAATGTGTGTATACCCCAGGTAATCGTAATACTAAGGTGCACTTCGATTACGTCGAGGAATAACAAACTGCGCGAGTATATTGTGAAGGGTCAAATAAATGAAGTTTTTACTGGCAGGAATAGTAAGTAGAAACTAGAAAAGACAATACCTCTGCTTAGTGAGTGCAACTTCAGCTTGTTTGACTTGAGGTGGAGGCATAAGTTCATTGTCTTCATCGCCATCTTCACTATCCTCGTTTTCGTCATTCTCTGCACTATTATTTTCGTCATGTTCCTCGAATTCAGCTGTTGAACCCTTAAGCTATAGCAGCAGTGCCGAATAAACCAATAATTTGATGGCTAATATAGCAACGTGTAATCACCTTGGTTTTTTTCTTCAATAGCGAAATCCTCGGTTCAGCTCCGTAAGAAGGAGGACAGTGCTTCCGCCTGCACTCGCGTTCCGGAGCGGATTCAGCCATAAGATGCCTGTCAAGTGGCTGATGCTTATGAACTGCTTTCAATAAAATTGCGTGGAAAACAATACTGAATTTTATTGAGTATTGCTGCACAGTACCTCAATGCCTATAAGTCTAAAAACATAAAAAGCACGATAAATGCTGCGTTAGAAATTTCCCATCGAAAGAAATCTGAGAGCCTCGAGAAGACTTTATGGGGAATTGTTGGAACCAAAAGCTGCTAAGATGGGCGCGTTGATGCCTCCAACATGATACACGAAGCGCACTGGCGCTGAACACTGCCAGGAAAAGACGAGGTGAGCCTAGCAGAGACTCAGATCATTCGAAATGGAGGATGCTTGTGTGGGTGCAGCAGTTTCTTCACATTTGAAATATTCTGCATCAATACTCTCGCTTGTAACTCTAAGAAGGCGAATGGAATGATAACAAACACTGCTCTTAAGGAGTGCGCTTTCCAATGTAGGAAACAAGTGTTATGTTTATCAATAGGATCACTAAGAGTTGGGAGTTCGAATGTGAAAGATGATTGTACTTCAAACTACGTCTTAATCTGGCTTCTTGTTTTATCCAGTCCGGATCCATTACTGTCAGGCACTTGTAAATGCCATGAAAAAAAGCGCAGATTTGACGTGAAGAGCACTTTTTCAATTGCACATTCCAAGATCTCTGACAATATCTTACCGGAAACCATGAGTTTTTGTACGTCTATGATGTTGAGGACTATCGGTGTCAGCACCGTCCTCTTCATCCTCACGATCCTCCTGATCTTCAGAGGGGGGTTCAGCGTCACTTTCCTCTGGTCTCTGAATTCAATCGACTTAGTATTCGGTCATTTTGACGAAGAATATTTAGAATACAACTCAGAGGAATTGAAATAATTTGCAAGTGTAGAGAGCGGATAGACTGCCTTCCTCTATCAGTTCCTAATACACTAATACAGATTGAGGAAGTCGGAAAACAAACCTTCAACAGCTCTTCAAAAAAGCGCTACGAATTTGTCTTTTGCTGTTCTGCCATAAAAGCACTTGAATACTCCTATATTTGGCATACATATTATAAAATAAATCGTAGAACCTAGTCAATTCTCAGGTTAGCAATTTGTCCTCCCATGTTATTCCTCCAAAGATATCTGAACATGGAGGGTTAACTAAACCACCACATTCGCTTAATCACACCTTCTCGGAAACTTACACAGCTACACTTAAACATCGACAATTGCTTGAGTGGCGGCATTAATAATGAACAATGGGACGAGAATATGCGGTGTAAACTTGAGGGAGAGCCTTTAAAGTGGTCAAAGCAGGCAACTGACCAATCGGAAAGGCTTCGCACATTCACCGCAACAGCATAGTCTCATAGAGGGACAAATCCGACTTTACCTCTGTCTCGAGAAGTCCATTCTTCAGCTCCTCATCTTCTTCTTCCGACCCAAAGTCTTCGTCTTCATTTCGATCATCTTCGGCTTGCTCTTCCATCGCACGACGTTTTCCATGGGATTTGTGACGCTGAATTGAAGCAATTCTTTTGCGCCCACCACTTTCGTCAAAGGCGCAGTACGAGATAAAAAATGGTTCCTGTGATTCTTCTCTAAGATGTATCGGGTGCGCTTCGTTGCGCGTATCCGTCGAAACTAGGTCACGCCGCAGCCGTCGCACGCGGCGAGTCGGCCCGCGATATTTGACGGACGTCGCAATTGTCACTGGGGCATACGCTTTGCGTTTGGTCCACGGCAGTCAGTTCAAGAAGAAGATAACACAGACGAATGCAAATCACTTGCTCCAATGACACTTGGTGGTACTGTAATTTCATCTCGAGACCTCAGTGTGATGCGCCGCGCGCGAAGTGGGCGGGGTGACCTACTTTCGACGGACACGNAAACTAGGTCACGCCGCAGCCGTCGCACGCGGCGAGTCGGCCCGCGATATTTGACGGACGTCGCAATTGTCACTGGGGCATACGCTTTGCGTTTGGTCCACGGCAGTCAGTTCAAGAAGAAGATAACACAGACGAATGCAAATCACTTGCTCCAATGACACTTGGTGGTACTGTAATTTCATCTCGAGACCTCAGTGTGATGCGCCGCGCGCGAAGTGGGCGGGGTGACCTACTTTCGACGGACACGCGCAACGGACGTTCTCCAAGATGAATCTGCGGCTCCTAAGGGAAGCATAAGGGACACTATCGGATCGCGTGTTCATGTAGGCAGCTTACTGTAGCCAGCGATAATCAAAGGCACACGCTAGACCGTCCGTGCAAATACCCTACCATGGGAAATATCCGTTCCGTCGAAAGCAGGTCATCCCACCCACTTCGCGCGCGGCGCACTCCACTGAGATCTCGAGATGACATTACAGTACCACCAAGCCTTAGTGGAGCGACTGATTTGCATCTGTCCGTGTTATAATCTTTTTGGCTGGCTGCACTGTGGACCAAGCGGAAATCGTAGTGTGACGGAATTTCTCCCCGACTCCCCAAGTCCGCTTTGCGGCATGCGGCGAATCTTTATAGTTGTCGTCAACTATACTATAATCTTTAGAGTTGTCGTCAACGGCATCGTACTGCACCCAGCTTGCCTCCCTACCAATCGATAGGACGCAATATTTTTCGTTGACAGGCTTCTTTTTCGATTAATTTTTTTGTTTTCTTCTGTTTCCTTTCGTTTTTATGTTTATCAGACTTGATTGTTTGGGATGATTCCACCTGTATTATCGACGATCAAGACCGCACTGAAATCAAATGAAGCGGCCACCGTTCAAATAATTGAAGGACTCTTTAACTCAGAAATTGCGCCCTCCAATCTTTCATCGCATTTATGCGATAAACGGCGGGTGCGGAATAAGAAACAAAAAAATTGGAGTCCATTGATCAGTGGGAAGGTGGGCCGAAAACGGTAGCTGCAGCTCGAAGCCGCGAGACGACCAAAAAGATTTGCCGCATGCAGCAAAGCGAACGTGTGAATATGGGAAGAAGTTCTGCTAGCTCAACTTTAGTCATCACATTCTCGTCCAAACTCTAATTTTTCTTTGTTAAAGCCTTACATTTCTCTGAATACATCGAGTTCGCGTTTTCCTCGTCATTTTTGCACGAGGCCGGTATCTTCCGTCCGAATACGACATCGTGCTCGCCGCAATCGCCGCGTATGCCTGCTTTCAAACTTCGACTCCGTCCGTCCGCTCAACGCGTACTGCGACTGCGGTCGCGCGCGTGTCGCGATGGCGATTTTAGAAAGGTGTTGACAATACTAGTTCACGTGCCAGCGCTGTCAACACTTTTCTATAACCACTGTCGCAGCACGCGTTGAACGGACGGAGGGACCGACGTCGAAGCCTGAAAGCAGCTTATCGCAAGATTGCGATGTAAGATGATGCTACGTAAAAATCTGGCGGCATCTGCGTAATTCGCTGTGGAACCGCAATACCGTAACCCGCGCTCATGTGCTTAGTTGCAGCTGGCCTAAATTTTGTTAAGTATATTATTATTTTGTGTTTTCCTTTGCTTCAGTTCAGTCCCGCCTAGGTGAAGTCCACCTCGCAACACAGAGTTTTCGATAAACTGTAGCGGGAGAACTTGCCAGGATTCACTTATTGTCGAATGATTAGGCACTGAGGTATAAGCGTCAGCGTCCATTTGGAACGAGTCGCATACCCGAATCTGGGAGAGAAGGGTTGAATTCAGGACAGAGCAGGGTTAAGTGTGTTGAGAAAAGTGTTCATAGGGCGCTGTTTCTGTAGAAATTCGCATCATTTTAGTTTGGGATCATTTTTGAGAGTTTGAGAACTTTCCCGTTTCACCTGATATATTCCCACTCCCTCCCCGTTCAATGGCTCTAAATCTAGAAAAACCCATGACACTTGTTGGGGGAGAAAGTGACAGAATCTTGCGAGCCTCACCCTTGACCCTCCTGCCTCGCAAAATCATGCTCTACCAATTGGGAACTTGGCCCGCCCTACCGCCCTACTTGGATGATTTCAAAGCAAAAATCACACACGTCTAGGAAACACTTGCTTATTATAGGGAAGCGGACAGATAAACAAACTCTGGTTTATTAGTAGTTATCGTAAAAGTCGAGACAGTGCTCGTGAATAATCGGCGCGCTCCAGTGACGCAGCCGCGACGCGGCCGCGGTCTCGCAGACGCCGGCAGATTTTTACGTAGCATCATGGAAGGAAGATTGGAGCGCGCAGCGGTCTTGACCGTCGATAATATAGGGAGAGTCACTACAAACAATCAAGTCCAACAAACATAAAAACGAAAAAGGAACAGAAAAAACAACCAAAACTGATAAAAAAGGCTCTCAACGAAAGATATTGCGTCCTATCGATCGGCGGGCAGGCGGGACGAGTACGGCAATTACAGTTCGAAGCCGCGGTACTATTAAAAAAGATTTATCGCATGCCGCAAAGCGAAAGTGGAAAATTGGGGAGAGTTCCTTTACCCCTTTTGCACGATTTTGAACTATCACTTCTATTCGTCCTGAACTGAATGCCCCCAAATTAATCGTGAACTGTACCTGCGAGCGTTATCTCTAAAGTCTGAATAATACAGAGTAATAGATATTTTACATTATAAGACGTAATCGAACAAATAAGTATACATGGAGAAATTCCACCCGTCCGCAGAAACTAGGTCAATCCGCCCACTTCGACTCGCAGCGCAGCCCCCTACGATCTCGAGATGACATTACAGTACCACTCGGTGTCAGTGGAGCGGAAAACTTGCGCTAGTTCGTGGTATGTTCTCTTTAGACAGACTGCTGTGGACCAACCCAAAATCGTAGGTCCCATTGACACTGCGACGCCCGTTGGCAGCGTGAAATAGTTTTGACGGACGCGCGGATTGAAATGCACCCCATAAAGATATCAATAGTAATCTTGATGCATTTCAAAACTGTGTACCTGAGGTGTTGGTTCCATTTTGACACGAACTTCTTTCTGCTTTCTTCGTTTAGTTCGCCTAAGAGGAAGTTGTGGCTCTCTATAGTCATCATCGTCTCGAGCCTCATGAACAATTTCTCGCTCCTGTTCCTATTTGGAAACATTATCGATAAGTAAAGTGGCAAAACAAAGCCATATTTCGCACATTACTCACACAACTGCCTCATCGTCTCGATATCTCAATTTCAACTGCATTATTAAAATACATTGAACTTTGGCAGCAGTATAGAGAAAGATTAGGAAAACAGGGAAATAGGGGAAGATCTTATGAAAGAGTCCTAACCGTGATTATCTGGGTAAAGCCTTCGACAGCGTCTTTCCATGGCAAAAATAGTCAGGAGGTAAAAGCTACAAGTCCAACCAGCCACGAAAGAGAAAATGAATTGGAAATAGACTTCAGCCCCCTATGTTAACAAATGATACAGAAACCACCAAACCAATTCATTCAGCAGCCAAATGACGACTAAGAAAGGACGTTGCGTGATTAGTCATTAATTGAGCCCCGATTTTTTCGAGTTACCTCAAAAATACGAATGTCTAAGCTAAGGAAAAGGCTATCAGTGGGTTTTTGGTCAATCCTGGACGTGAAGGGGGTCAAAAAGCAACCTGGAGAGCGAAACATCAAGAGAAAGAGGAGTGAACGACAACCCATGAAAAGGAACCTTACTCCAGTTGGTCCGGATGCAATTCCTATCAAAAGCGACCCGGTTATCGCGATGCCTTTTAGTCATAAATAGTGCCTTCCTCATTTTCCTTCAACGATAAACTTAGACTTTTTCTATAACGCACAGTGACCCTCGGGACATTGTTCTTCGTAGAGGACTTGATTCATACTCGACTTCGTCGTAGTTGACGCTTCTCTCAAAATCCTCCGCTTATATTTTGCCGAAAGCAACGAAAAACACCCCGTACTTCTTCCATCTTATACCCGTGGGATTCCTGACGAAATTGTCGACAATTGAGTGGCATCAGCCCATATCACGAGCGATTTTGACAGTCCCTGTTTTTGGGGGATTGGCCTTTCTCGAAATCGGATAGAACTTTCCTTCACCCATTACCTGAAATTGGAAAACTTGACACAATAAGCAACTGTGTGAGGTGAAAATGGTAGAGGACGAGGAAATGTGGGGTGACTGTATCATTTGGCAACATAGGCAGAGTGGCCTTTCCCGTAAAAATGAAGAGAAAATTGGTCATGCTATTGAGATGGAACTATAGTTGTTGGTCTAGAGTTACAGCACGAGCAATGCACTATTTCCACATTAGGCCTTTTCAACGCAGTATATATATATATATATATATATATATATATATATATATATATATATATATATATATATATACTGCGTTCACTAATGATATATATAAATGCACAGGGTGCGCCATAAATGTGGTAACAACTTTTCGGACGTCCATAATTTCCTTGTTTGGAGGTTTTCTCCAAATCTGCACCTTCTCTTTTGTTTATGATATACCTTAGAACACACATCTACTTCGGTTCTCTAAATTCGTCGGATTTCGAAAAACGGTATAGCCTCGCAAACATCCACCAACCGTTCCGTCTGTTGGCGTATTTGGTGAGTTCTTTTTCGGGATCGCTCCTCGTCTCAACATTTCCCACATGACAACCGCTTGAAAAGCGATGCGTGGACAGGACAACGACGAAGCTCGAAACGGTTGTGTCGTCTCACATACGACCTCTTTTGGGAATAGAACTGTTTTGGAAGGAGTACGCTACGGAACCAGCAGAAACGCGAGAAAAATGAGTGCTGATCTGTTTATATGTTCTACTCCGATGAGAAGGGTCTACCCCGAGTAAATACAGTTGTATGCAGATAGAATTCGGACGCCTTATACGCTTCCTCGCGAGAAGAGGTTGGAGAAAAAAAACAAATGCCGTGCGCTACTCGCGCGCGACGCGCGCTTTGACAGACTTTTTTCTGACTAAAGGGTGTTCAGCGTTGAAGAAATGTCGAGATCTCAGAGTATACGTATATTTCACACTACGAGTGCTGAAGTCGCATATAATAGCCAGATCCCCTCTCATAGCCATTTTACCTTTTTTATGATAGTTTGGTCTAGAATCTCTACCATTACAGCGATATCGCAAATTTTGATCGAGAAAAGTACAAAACTTAATCCGAACCTGTTTCATGAGGGGTTTTCTGAAAGGATACAGCTGAGAGTCTAAGATCTTTTTAAGGGTATGATTTGGAAACTGCGACGCACCTGCTCACAATGATCAAGCTGGTGCTGAGGAAGTGTTTGCGTCTTCATCTCAGCATTCATTTCTCCTACGAATTTCCCGGCCCGCAGTACGATGGGTCGCTGGATATAGTCCATAGTGAAGAGGAAAGCCTGCGCTTCAAAACGCACTACTGTTGCTGCTCGTATGTAATCATGGAAAAGCTCGGGCTGGAGTTTCTAAAGTAACTCTTTGTGTCACCGTCGATGAGTGGCCGAAGCGTCTTCGAGCTTTAATCAGTACAGGAGACGGTTAATCAGTACAGGAGACGGTTATAAAAGATGACCGTGTGTTTGTTTTGTAGATGTGATGTATAGTAAATTACTCTCAGGAATTGATCATGTATCAATATGAACTGCCGTTTCTGGGGGTCAATGTTTTTGTTACCATATTTTCATATTTATTGCGCACCCTATATATATATATATATATATATATGCATATATATGTATGTATATATAGCCCGAAAGCTCGTGCACACCTCCAACTTCTTTTGATGAGTGTTACTGTAATTAAATACAGTATCATGCACTGTATGAAAAATTGGCAAAATAAGCCTATAGAGCACTACTGTAAATACATTGGTTTGAAAGTACCTCGACGTATTCTCTGACCCGCTTAATGTTATTCTCGATTTTTCTTCGTAGACCCGCGAATAACTGATGCTCTAACGGTTGCCCTTCTTCAGAATCATCATCATCGTCAGCTATAATAGGGCGAGTATGAATGTAGAGCTTTAAGTGAGCCCACAACTCAACAGTTAGTGATGAACGAAAACAATGAGTGCAATCCAGAGAAAGCGTATTAAACAAGCGCACCTATTCGCTCTGTAGGTTCCTCAGCAGATTCATCACTTTCACTCGGCCTGGAAGAATAATTGCATAAACAATTTGCAAGTAAGAAACGACACAAACGAATGCTTCACACCACAGGACCTTTTTCGGGGCCCTTCCTATGAGGCTAAATATGAATGAACAGCAAACGTTTTTTCACAGACATATCACGGCGGTGAAACAGTATCAAAAGAAAGAGGGACCTTCAGAAAGAAGGCAACGAAATTTTTTTTGTAACCGTAAAGGATCTACAAGTGGCTGATTTTACCATGTTCCAGTTTTTTCTGGCTTTACGAAGCGATTTATCAGCAATGAGTACGTATATATGCGTGTGTGCGTGCGTATGTTGTGTGTGTATGTGTATTCGTATGTATGTATGTATGTATGTATGTATGTATGTATGTATGTATGTATGTATGTATGTATGTCCGATCTGAACGATGAGCTCGTGCTTTTTGCATATAATAACAGTTTCTCCGATATCGTTCGTTGAAGTGGGAAGAAGATGGCGAAGAGGGATTCACCTAATTACTTCGTTTTTGAAGGTCTTTTCCACCCAAGTACTTGCTGTCAAACACTTCGGTTAAACGACATGCGTGAGAACAAGTGCTTTGGTCTCATCAATCTATCCCATGATCGCTTCAAATGGCAAAACCGACCCAGCTCACCCACTGTAAAAAAAAAAGTAAGTCATTCCACGTAGGTTATCTGCCATTCTAAGGCGCTGTGGAAATTACCGCTATCAGGGTGACTACTGAAAGATGCTTATCAACAGAGTTATAAAAGGGCATAAATTCCTTCACTGTTGAAGAGCCCGGTGTCAGCTTCTTTGTTGGCTGATTAATAAGGAATACAAAACAAGGTCTTTGGGTTGCTTGTTGTATGTTGCACAAATTGATAAGGTTTTTCATGGAAGCTTTGCTTCATCATTGATTACAGAACCTATTTCAGCTTTGATGCAAATAGCCTTCATCCAAGCAGTGCGTACTTACTAGTGCTGCCATGTTTTTTTGAAAAGAAGATGAGTTCGGAAGACTCATTTGAGTTCAGCATTAGGAATTCGCATTTCGACTGCAAGTACTTTGGTGGAAAATAGCTTTAGCATAAAATAGAAGTCATTAGGTGAAACAAACTCAATTAGAGGTCAAGGGAGCTGTGAACGAACCCGAAGCTTTCTGATGAAACGTCCTGATAACTGTCATCATTCGCTACTTCTTTTTGACGGTCCTTGCGAACGCCTGTGAAATCTGTAATCCAGTTCATAATTCGTTACTCAGTTTGCAGTTTTACTGGAATACTTGAAATGCAGATAAGGTGCACGAAGAGAATAAAATGAGCTCATACCCGGGTAGTGAAATAACCTTTAAAGGACAGAAGGTCCTAAAACTGATGTTACGGAGTGCCCAAGATTTTCATCAGTACAGTTCATACCCAAATGACTGAGCATTAGGTTTCTGGATCTAATTTAACCAGTGACTTCGAAGACAGTAATGAAATTAGGACCACCCAGGTTACGGAGCAACTAGGAACCGGGCCTTGAGTGCAGAATCCAACTCGGAAAAAAATTTGAGGTGCTTCTCTGAGGGGAGAGGAACTTGACAAGTGATCTGTGTTAGGAAGTTGTGTTGTTAGCGATAGAAATTTTCCCACGTTTGCCTTAAGCAACGTCTTCGATAAATAAATAAATAAATCTGAAATCTCTCAAGGTAATCTATCATTGACGTAGCTTCACGAAATCAGGCCTCTTTATTGCAGAAACTTTTTGAGTGGCAGCGAATATCATCGTTAAGGTAATCACGGGCGTATCACTAAAACTGCAATGAAAAGGAAATGTCAGATGTACACAAAGTGCCGCGCGATGAAAGTTCTAAGTCACAAAACTGCGAAACTGCCTAATTCAGCCTTTCGAAGTCCGGCTTAGAAGTAGGGAAAACGAAAGCAGCATATAGGAGGTAAACGAGAAAAGTCGGTTGGTGCGAATCAATCCCGCTTTTGGGGTGCGCCCCACCATTCGAATCCCATTCAGAAGCGCAGTGGCATTCTCAATGCGTATGTCGTACCAAATAACTTGTGGTGGGTTAGCTTGCTGTTCATGCACACCCTTAAAATACTGAGGGAATTGAATTGGTTGAGACGAAATGATAAAGAACTGATCGAATATATTACAGAGTTAAAAAAGAGTAGCACAATGCACAATGTCAAACATACTGTCAGCTCCTTCTTGAAGATCCTTCGACGAGAATATAGTATACAGACCAGAGCATAGAAAGAGAAAGACAAGTAAAACTGCCCAGGTACGTGCGCCTCCCTAAATGCTAAAATCACTTCACCTTCTTCACTAGAAATTTAGCGAAAGCTCTCTGAATTAAACTCCAAACAAGCAAACCACCTTTGTAACACTATAATCAATTCTGTGTACAGGAGCAAGCGCCACAGCCATTGGATGAGGCCCGGCGCCGACTGAAACGGCAAGGTATATGATCAAAAATGAAAACGCAATAAGAAGTTATACACACAATAATTTTTGTGCCAAAATCGATAAGGAGCTCTCTTTAGAAGCACGCGATTCTACTAAAGAATTTCCACTAAACTTCTTTTTATCTCTTCGTTTTTCTGCTGGGAGGGCGAACTTAACCAGGTCGGCGTGTTTGTGATCGGAAACAAGGACAGCTTTAAAAGTCAAGTAAGAGATTAAACGATTAAGTTTACAAAGGCGCCTAATCAAAACGCCCAAACAATAATTAACAAGAGCGAAGCGGTACGTTCCTGCTCTTCACAGCGTGGATTTACATGCGAGATTTTAACCATTACTTAAGTCGTATTATTGCAAGTATTTAGTAAAAGTGATGTTGGGCTCCTCTTTTAGGTTCAACAAAGCATATAGCGTTTTTGATGAAACTATAGCATCACTTCGAATATTGACAAAACGATCTCCGTGGATCAACGGACATTGTTTACCGTGAGCTAACAGGAAATGCTGCAGGATAGTGAAGGGCAGTACCAGAGGAAGCAAGGATACGCAGAAGTGGAATAATGTAGAATTCAAACAGTGGACCTGTTTGTCTAACAAATTCCCTCACGCTTACCTTCTTCCTGTGTTCTTTTCAAACTTTTTTTTACTATTAAACATAAGTGGAAAGTCGGCTGTTTTGGGCTCAATTCATCGCCTTACCTCCGATAGTACAGTTCGCTTCTATGTGGTTGGATCCTTATAAACGATTCCACTATATAAATCCGTCAGAATTATGTATGGGACATTCGGATCCCGTGAATTTGTAATGCAAAGAAGTGTATTAGGCTCAAACACTTGACTCACTCCCATCAGCGACTCAAATCACAAAATTATGAGGTATTTGGTTTTATACGAATAATGGAAGTGATAGCCTAGTATAGTTCAGAAAAAGGCAAAGAAAACGCTAGGATAAGCGTATTTGGAGGAACGTCAGCCTTCAAAAAAAAGTAAAATTAGGGGTTGGACGAGCATGTGACTACAAAATTGCATAAAAGGAGTATTTTGACAAGGGATAAAATGTGTCTGCCATTGTGTACAGCTGGCAAAAATAACCTGCCTGTGTGCAAAGTGTGCATTTCGATGCGAATGCTGCATCTCCACAGCCTCTACAACCCCATGAGAACTCGTCCTCTTTGGGTGTATACGCCGTCAAGGCCAGATTTGGAGCCCTCATTACGCCCTATCTGAGCCTTCGTCGACCCGATAGCGTCCCTAGTGCTATTTCTGAGGGTCACAGGTTCATCCTAATGAGAATTATCGCAAACCATTTTCTTTCCACCCTACTTTTCTGTTTGTTTAAATTCTGTTCCCAAATAAGACATCGTATAGATGGTCAAGTTTAGCATATATATATATATATATATATATATATATATATATATGCGATCGAGGAGGAATTACGCTCACATGCTATCCATTTTATATGTATATATATATATATATGTATTTACCTGACCTCTCACCTTGCTCAAAGATGCAGAGCTAACTGCTGGGTGAGCTCAGTGAGGAAGGAGGCGAACTTTTTCCCCTGCGATGTGTAACTTACTAAGCGATCGAGGAGGCATTACACTCACATGCTATCGATTTTTCGGAAACCATAGAAACTTGCTCGTTATTCAAAATGATAGGTGAAAAACAGTATGACTGAATAATTGAGACTTCTCAGTTCCTTGCGAAAGGGCATTGGAACGCGAATAATAGTTCTGAGGCGGTAATAAACATACAACTTCAAAGGATAAGTATTGCTGATTCAGTAAATCCAGAAAAAAAAATCGGCCTCATCTTTCTATGCGAAGAGAATCACGCGTTACAATAGTAATTATAACGATGGATGCGAGGAAAAGGAACGTGCAGCTGGAACAAAATTTTACTGCGAACAACTATGTCCAATTTTGTTTTTCACGAAATTTTCTCGGTCTCAGGATCTAGCACACCGCGATAGAGAATGAGCTTTTGAGACAAAAGGTCATAAAATTTGTCACGCGCTATATTATCATCATCAAACTTGAACAAACATCATTAATTTTTTACCTTTCACTGAACTGGGATTTCACAGAATTCTTTTTTATTATTTTTTAACTGCTCTGCTAGAGGTTAGGTTGACAGAAGGGCATGTGTCTTTTTTCTTTCCAATATAGTGACTACATAATTGAGCACGTGTACAATAAATAGGGCCTCGTGTTTATAATGCTATCTTACAGGCTGAGTGCGCTGCATGAAGCGAAGTGTTTAGTGGGATGACATTATAAGAGCCTTAAAAAATTGCTCGGCTCGGTTTAGACAAAACCACATGCAGGGTGGGCAATAGGAGCGCCTGAAGAGCAATTTTTAATGAATTCGTAGCGTGAAAACTCACTGCTTGATCCCTGTCGACGAAATGGCGGTCGTGGAGCAGCGATACTGTTGCCATTCTGTTTCGACGCCATCGGGCTTGAACCCGATGAGTACAGTAGATATCACAATATTAATTATAGCGTCTTGTATAACGTATATGTATGTGCCCTTAGTATATGTATGTATATCAGTGACGTTAAGGATATACGACGAGTCTACGAGGGAGGAACGATGGCGACGGAGGCGATATGCCGTCCGTCGATCGCTACGCCCCTGGGCGTTCGGTCGCTGCAAAAGAAACTCTCTCACAAGCGAATCAATGACATCGAAAGCAATATTGACGGATGAAACCTTACCAATCGTAAGTGTTCAATCTAGAGATTTAAGATTCAGCAACAATCGATTGTCCTTACAAGAGACTCAAATATTCAAAGTACACAATTAAGAAGTGAGCCGAGGCTCTAGGGAGAAAATGCTGAGGTGCTCTGTCTCAGGGCCACCAGCTGCTCAGCCTTCTCAATGCGTATAGGGTCACACTAAATGTAAAGAGAAGTAACAGAAGAGATCCGGATCATGTCAAGCAGTTCATAACGCACTGAGATTGATCCTTTGGTTTTTACTCAGATGATGTGGTTCAGTACATGATTAGCGATTTCGATCATAATTCCTATCTTAAAATCAAAACAATGGTGCCTTCGATTGGGTGGTTCTCTGAAAAATAAACAAGAAACATTTCCATAATCAATCCACGATCACTCTTCGAGTACAAAAGGAGCAAAGAGCACTTCAGACGGTGGATTGGACTCTGTAGAATGGAAAGATCCACCTACGAATGACTTGTTCACTGAAAAATCTGTAAATACGTCTTCCTTCCGTGAAGAATTCTGCATGCAAACACCCGCCATCAATGAAATGGAGCGATGGGGGAAAGGAACGTGTTTGTTTGAGCAAGGTCTCCAACAATTTTGCGGAGTCTCGTCAAAGATTCCAAAGGAAATTCAAAAAATAGCAATATTGTGTCATGCATGGTTCCTTATACCCGCGTCAACACTCTATCTACAGAATCAAACAAATTCTGCGTACCACACTCGAAACTCGCATGATGGTTGTCAGGGGAATTCAGTTCTCCAAGAGATCCCTTTGAAGCAATAAATGTCACGCTTAATGTCAGACCGGCAGAGGCCATCAGGCTGAAGCTGAAGAGGAACGCTTGGTATTTTGTGGACACTTGATTTTGACATTGAGATCACAGTAAAACCATGAGCGTTCCCTATGGTAGTTAATATTGAGGTCTAGCAATCGCGAAAACGCAAACTCACAAAGGAGCAAATAATCAGAGATGTGAACATGTAAAGTCGTAGTTAATATGCAGTGACAACCACTAACATGAGGTTCATCTGAGATAGTGGCATTCGATTGGTTTGCTCACCTTTATGAGCGTACCCAAAATCCAACACCAAACCTATTGCATAGAGATGATGATTGATTATTACATTCTACAAATGGTGTCAATTTCTAAAATGTGTGAGTAGATTCCAGCGTCCAACGCATGATATGAAACTAGACATGCAAACATTCTCGGATTTTCCTTTGCCGTGAAGTTGGTTTATGAGGTATGCAAAGTTTAGTATAAACAACTGTGCAAAAACAAAAGAAAAGAAAATCTGTGAAGATAAAGGAAAAAAAGCCTCAGAACTGACATGCTATAAACAACGTAATCGTACACAGTGCAAAATGTTTTTTAAAAAATTTGATGCAAACTCTCATAAAACCTAGAAAAAACATCTACTCACACAGCGTTCGGTTTGAACAAAGGTCAAAGTGCCTTAGAATGATGCTATTAGGTTAATGCATAATTATTGCGGATTTTCTCGCGGCTTTTTTTCTCTCGATAGAATTTGAATATTGAGTTCGGGGTTTTCTAGAAATGATCTGCTTGATTTCCTCTACAAAAATGTACTTAGAAAACCATCCGCATATTCGCGAAATTAGGCTCTACTACTTCGAGAAAGGTTGGAAGGTGGCAGAGTCATTCCGCGATCTCAAGAACTTTTCGGCGATGGAACAATCAGCCAAAACCAACCAAGAAATGGGATCTGCCCCTAAATCTACCATATTCACCAGCAGAAACTTTTATGGATTATCTCGTCAACCGTTCATCGAAAAAATGTCTAGAGAATAGAAGTTACGTCGATTTGGCCTTGATGGCCGATGTCAAGGCGTCGGATCGCCCGTAAGGATCAAAAATTCTTCGCTTTTGGGATCCGACTATCTAATCAATGGGAAGCAGTGCTTGACGTAGATGGTGGATCAGTTCCGGAGTAGTTATTTGAACACGTTTTTGTTCAGTACTTTTATGTTTCGTTGAATAGAATTTGTTGAAAAAAATCCGCAATAATTATGCATCAACCTAATTCTAAAAAGATACCGCACTTATAGGTAAAATTTCTGTGGTGATAGTAGTGGAACAAGACCAGTAGAAATTCTCACAGAATCTCGAAGTTGGTTTGAATGTATGAGCATGTTTCCGCGTTTAACGAGAATGTCACCGGTAGCGGCCGAAAACCTCGACAGAATGGCAACATTCCATTGGTAAAATTCGAGAATGTAAACAATGCTGAGGCAAACAATGGCTCGCAAAGAGATAGCTGACTGTGTGTTGTGAAATTGTAATTTTTCATGCACCGCTTGATATAAGCACGAGCGTTTCTTCAGCAAAAAGGGTTAGGCCCTATCCCCCCCCCCCCCCCCCCCCCCCCTCTCCCCACCCTTCTCGAACTACGTAGAATCCTGCACTGTGCACCACTTCATATTGCTAAGCCCAGCATTAATGTTTACCACCAATGACACACCTACCTCAAGGGTCCGTAAAGTCAGTTCAGTAAATACAGCAATGTCGTCAGGTATGAAAGAGATTGGGCACCAAACAGTCAGAATAGTGTAGCGCAATAAAATCATGCTGTGCGTGTCTAAACTCTTCGATATAAGGCGCATCCGACTAGGGCTATTCGGAAGTTAGTATCGGGTAAGGGTGGGCCAACACGTGAGAAAATCGGTGGTGCGTAGTGCATTAATAACAGATATCGTGACCGTTGATGTAGAAGCATTCAGCTATTGTTGAGACTGTCTTGTTTGCTCACACACTTTGCACCTACTTTGCTCAATGTTGCTGAAGTATTCCTAGTCACATGGAAATACGGCAATACTGGCGTGAGCAGATTCAGAAGGACGGAAGGATTATTTGTAAGTAACATTGATGTTTTCCAGAAGTTAATGACTTCTTGGATTCATATAGGGACTTGACTTCACTGTTCTCTACACAAAAGCTATCTAGTTAACAATGCATACCTTTTTCTAATCGAAAACAGTACACTATCAAAACTTTTTTTTTGTCTTCAGTTCTGCTATGTAGATTGGTGAGGTATCATAGAAGATATTGCTAAGCTGCTATCAGTGCAAAGTTTCTCTATAACATTTCACCAAAAAGCTAATATTTTCGCATGGTTGGTACGATATATGCTCAACGCTTTTCTCGTTTCAAACAAGAAAAGCAGGAAAGCATGCTTTAACTGATTTGGATACTTTTAACGAAGTTTACTTGTTTGTTTGGGAGAAACTCTGTTAGGAGTAGGCTGAAAGCATAGCCATAAAAAAGATCAAATTTACAAACATTACCAACAAATCGTGTTTGCTAACTGCCATAGTAAACATGACTTTCTACTTAGAATGAATGATTGCAAGCGGCTGAAATGAGATAGAATATGTTTCACCGAACAGAAGGGGTTTGAGTGAAGGTTTACTAGTGCGAGAAAGAGGAACATTTCGCGGTGCGAGCTGTCGCAGTGGATAAGAGCTTTACATCTTCTCGACGAGACAATCCGATAAAGCAGGGTCTCGCAGAGCGAGAGAGAAGCAGAGACAGTGGCAAAGATGTCGGCGAGAGCCAGCGAGATCGGAAGTGCAACCCAACAAATGTAAGCGGGTGGAGAATCGTTTTCTCGTTACCATCGTCTTCTAAATTACCTCAAGTCGAAAGTAGAAAATCGAAAAACGTTTGTAGAAATGATCTTGATAAATATTTGTACCTCTATATGTTTCGCTGTTGACGTAAAGAGGTTGAAGTTCAGATTCTAGGTGGCCATGCCACCCGTCGCTGGGTTTCTTCTTCTATGCGATGTTCCACTTCAATATAGTTCTTGCTCGAGTGTATTCATCGAAATCTCCTTTTCAACGAGTCCTTCTTCAATGTCTGTATCCGTTGCGGGATCTTCACCTGGAAATGTGTAAATAAACAACATTTCACCGGTCCACAAGTATAAAATTCCTAATTAGCATTATTAAAGCCTTCCTAGTTCGAATCATAATTTTTCTAAAGATGCTTTACCTTCTTGGTGTTCTCATTCTCCTCAACTTTTTATCATTTACTCGCGAGATAACGATATGCAGACAACATAATGAAAATGAAAATGAAGTCTTCACAACTAACTAAGAACCCTCGCAACGAAGTGCAAAGTGTCCTCAATCGCGCAGAAGTTGGCAAGTCCAGCCCCTATTCTTCAGACTGGTCCGTTGTTGAGACATCTACAAAAAAGTCGGGAGGAAAGAATATATGCGTGAACCTAACTTTATCGTTTCTTCTGTTTTGTGAAATCCAGTTGAAATCACATTCTGGTTTTTTTCTCTGAAATACAAGTTATAACTCGGTTCAAAAAGAAATTCTAGAGGACGAATGCATTAGTAAACTCAACTCGTTTACTTCTACAGCGCAGTGCTTTGAAATTTTGGAATAACTCTGCTGTAGAATAGAATGATTTTCAGGTTCACTCTCTACTTTGAAGAGAATTTCCGCCGGAAATTTCGTGAATGACCTGATTACATTTTTACGTGTTTTCTGATATTTGACCCTAAATGTCAATGCTCGGCATATTCTGATTATTTGAGCACCATTTATTTCTTTACAAAGCCAAACTACACGGTTGCAATACAAGGAGCTCGATTCTTCATAAGAAATGCTACAAATTGATGCATGGATCGTTTTTCAATCAGAACTTTATTTTTGTTCGTTTCAGGCTTTGTGCTTCAGCGTCTGATC